TCCGCGCGGCCATTTTTTCCTCGCGGTTTTCTTTCGCGTCACGCACGACGGACTAAGCGAAAGAGGGACTACTCGTAGTCTACACGTCCGGTAGACAAAGAGAAAATCTTTTTTCGGATGTACTTTGGTCTCTGTTTGGGCAAGCAAGAAATACCTTTGCATTTTCCTCCTGTGGAGTAAGTTTCCAGGTATTTTAAGGTCGACAAAAGTAACGTGACTTCATAAATGTGTTCACACACCTAACTAACCAATGCGCTCGTTATTCCGAACTTAACTCTTATCATGAGACTATTCTATATCATGAGACTATCCTATATCTATTCTACGTTATAAAATCTACACACTGAACTGATGCTCTATTCTCTATACACACTATATTCTATACCACATACATTCTACATTGTTCGCATTTAGAATTCTATATCCTGCCATATACCCTAAGTCCTTTATTAAGCCTGCAAGTGATGTATTCATGTAAAACGAAGTTATCCGCTTAGCACTCTCATTTGCATGATGCATTGATAAACAAAGTGTTACAGTCATCTCTTTTTTAACCCAAGAACAGGCACGTAAAATCTTGCGAATACACATTGTGAATTTGTGTCTAGGTTGATATGGTAAAAATGTACCATTAATCAAACGGTCTTTTTTTGGTTTGGTTTTCAAATAAAAGCTCGACCGGTGGAGAGGGACTTATACCAAGCAAGGAGGTTCCCATAACAAAAGAGAGCTTACTAAAGATGAAGTTAGGGCTTAATAGAGGATTTAGTGTATTCTATATTCTTTGTTCTATAGTATATATTTCTTTATGTCTTAGTGTCACACTCCTCATTTGCCTCAAAACTCTTGTTGTTATCTCCTTTTTCTTTCATGGTGTATTTCGGCTGGCCTTTCTCATCAGCCAACGGTTTGCCGAAGTCGTATTTCTTGAAGCAGTTCAGGAAATCATACTTCAATGGTATAATTTCCCTCTCAAACAAAAACTTCATCAAGTACGATACAACCACAATAGTGACAAATGATACTATCATGGATAGGGTGCGGAAGGGAAACAGCTGACCCTTCACCTCGTCGTAAAACGGGTATTTAATGAACGAAGGGAAACCAATCTTGTCCTCCCCTCCCCCCACGCGGAGCACTAGCCCCAGTATATAACCCATGATGGAGCCGTAGGTGTTGGCGCCTTTAAGATAGATAACACAACACAGCTGTGGGAATAGTATCACATATACCAGGTCACTGCACAGGTGGAACAAAACATAAATGGAGCCAACCGTCAGAGCCATTGCTGTGGCAGCCGCGCCTGCTCCAAATATGGCCAAACGCATCACCCACACAACTTCCTTCTCCGAAGCCTGGAAAGGAAGAAAATATTTATTATAAGCTTATCTCTCCTTTTGGGGGAGAAAGTTGGAAAGAGAGCTAATAACAATGAGCGCAAGCACCGTTTATCTTTTGTCTCTTACCTTTTGACGAAAGATGAGTTTGTAAACGTTATGAGCAAACATGGTGCTGGCCGAGAGGAAACTGGAGTCTGCGGAAGACATGACAGCGGCAGACACCGCGCCCAGTCCCACAAACGACACAGCGGTTGGTGTGAGGTACTGAAGCACCATGGGAAGGATCAGTGTGTTGTCGAAGTCAACAGAAGCCGTCTGGTTAGTATTGTTACCACCGGGTGGCTTATAGAAGTCAGTTTGGGTCCAATCTATGGTAGGACAGCAACAACCATTTGATTTCGCGAAATATTGCGATCTAATACTGTAATTACCCAGAGGGGCATTCCTAAATTTTAACGGGGTGTGCTTTCCCTATGCGTTTGTTATCAGCGCGATATGATATTTCAAGTCAGTAAGGCTCGAAATCCAAATTTCTTGATGTCCTAATTCTTTAGTGCATAAAGTAAAAAGGTTCATTCTCGCAAAAAATTAGACGGAAGGAAATGAAAAGTGCGACTTCTCTGGCAGAAGCTGGATATAATGTATTCGTTTTACCTGTGGAGGCACCGATGGCCCCAATGAGAATTGCTGGGACCGCCATGAACATGCATCCAAACGAGGCGAAGAAAGACAGTACCCGGGCCTTATTTGGTGTCTTACATGATAGCACGCGCTGAAAATACACTTGCCATGGCATACCACCGCATATCTGTAGAGGAAATAAAACTTATATCAGTCAGCTATGCACGCTGTTTGATTTTAGAGCTCTAAATTGAATTAGCTGACTTAAATAAAACACCTCTCTGGTAAGCCTTTCAAAAGAGGGAAAACATATGAAGACATGATTGATCATTCCAGTTGTATACACAACTAAAGCAGCTGTGAAATTAAAGCCTGGAAAAAATTCAGGCTTGAACGGGATTCGAACCACATGACCTCTGCGATACCAGTGCAGTGCTCTACCAACTGCGCTATCAAGCCAGCTGGGAGTTCGCCACATTGTGAGTGCGTAATATACCCGTACAGTGGTGCTCAAGTTGCGTTAATAACTGCGATGATCAATCATGTCTTCGTCTCTTTCTCCACAGTTCAAATATATCTTTCAGATATTCACTTGTAGACAAAACATAGTTGTTAAAGACTTCGAGATTACTTCATAGTAATCGTCACACTTGATTATAACTTCTAGCGCGTTTTCTGATAGATCCCGCTACAGTTGTAATACTTGACACAGTTTGTTAAGATGCTTGTCGCGCTTTGTTATAAAATATGTTGTCGAACTTTGTTGAAAGCAAGTTGAAGATGGCCGACAGTCACAGGAAACTTGTTCTACTGTAGAATGAGCTACATTTACCAGCAACATTGCATAATCCAGCCAAACTCCAAGTTTCGGAGTGGGCACCTCTCCAATCCAATCACCAGAATCTTTGGAGATGCTGGTCACTGCTGAATTCGTCATGGCGAATGGTATACTGAGCCACTAAGGCAGGTAGAGAAAGGAGAGTCAGTGAGGCGAACACAATGACAACCATCAGTTTTAATTACCTTCTGCTTCCTTTTTGCAGGCCCGTAATCGGCCCGTGGGCATTGCGGGGAAATAATGTCCTAGAATTAGCCAATCAGAGCGCGCGTTATATCGACTATAAACACAAGTCATGCAGGTAATTAAATGATTTATAATACGATATGAGCCGTGCAACAATACCGTACTCTCGTTTCGCCAAGTCTCGTACAACTTCTCTTGAACTATTGTTTGACTGGTTTTGACTTTCTCAATGGATTACAGTGAGTCATAAATTGATCATGATATACCATTGCTATAAATCCTACCAAGGCGAGACAAATATATTTCGTCTAATCTTCCCGATTTTAAACTCGTTTCAACTGAGAATCATTAGGATATCTGTCAGTAAAAACCCCGTTCTGCTGGTTTCTGGTGCGAGCCCAGCCCCATCTTGACCTAAAACATACAGATGACAGCCGACGACTGACGACAGCTTGAGTGCCACGCATTTCTAAGTAGCGAACACCACTGACAACACTTACCAGTCCAACGAAGATGCAGATGAGCTGGATAACATCGGTGTAAGCCACAGAGTAGAGCCCTCCTAACAGCGTATAAAAAATAGCGATACACGCCGAAACAATGACAGAAGTGAAACGATCCAAGCCGATGACGACGCTGACGGTGGCGCCGAGAGCTGATAAGATGGCCCCAGACCAAAATATCTCGCCCATCAAAGCGGGAAGGTATAACAGTCCACCCATACGTGCACCGTACTTTTCCTGGAAAGGGTCCAGCATTGTCACGTACTCTCTTTCACGCATGGTCTTTGCAAAGAGCAGTCCTCCTGATAAGCAAAAAAACGTCACGCTCGTTTAAGTGATTGTGTCACATGCGTGCTTGTCTTACTTCGGACTTAGTTGAGCTATCTACTGGGACTTTGTTATCTCAGTACAAACTGGTCTGAGAGGTGAATGAATTAAACAGAAGCCACATGGGCGAACAACCTCGGATTTTCCCTGATTTTCGCCCAATCGGCAACAAAAGAAAAAATAAGGGGACAGATATAGAAAATTAAGGCTGTGATAGGCAAATACCGTTAACTATCATCAACAACAAAGTGTATGGCCGCTGTTAAAGAATGTACAGTGTAGCTTCATCAAGTGGAATTAACGTATACAGGCGATAAATTAAGCCGCATCATCAACACTGGCAATGACTGACCGGGAGTGCACTGAACCCTTTGCGAAAATGATGTTAATAATTATATCGACAGGTGTTTCGTCCTGGCTGGGCGCAGCCGAATAAGGAAGTCAATTGAGTTATATTTGTACAGAAAGGTAGAATTATATTGAGTAGGAAACTGATTTATGAATGCCCTCATCTTGCCTTATAACTATAAACTAAACTTCAGTTGTACAACAATGTCCATTATCATTTAATAAGGACAACAGAAGTATGGTTTCGCAAAGTTTGTCATTCAAGGCACCAAAGATATCAGGTATTGACAATTTGTTACTCACCTAACGCCAGACTGAGTGCATAACCCCAAGGTGCTTGGCACCAGACAAGACCTTGGGTTTTGTCGTAAAGGACTTCTGCAGTACCATTGATGTATCCTCCACCAACCCAGGTTGCTATGGGGAACGAGCAAACTGTTACCATCAGCAGTGGGGCAGGGTGGTAGTAGAAAATTATTTTGCATTGAATTAGGCATAGCTATTAACAGAAAGCAAGTGACGGAACCAAAAATTGCTTGTATTCTACTTCGATAGGAGGTCTTTAGTGTCCGGTTATTGCTCAGAACAGTCAGAAACGTTCCTAAAAATTGTGTCTTTCATGTTCTTTAATGCTTTAGTGAGAAAACATGCAACATGGTTGCGTGCGTTATGGCTTGAAGAGGGAAATCACTCGTGATTTTGACTTACAATACCAAAATTTGTGGGTCTTTGGCTATTAGCTTTTACAATAGTCTGTCCACAGACCTTCTGTTTTGTCTTGAGGTCGTCGAGATCACAATTAGCAAAATTGACGGCAGGGAATTTGAAAAAGTCCGAACGCAAGGGAAAACTGAATACCTCGTTGCAAAAAATTAACGTCTGCTGATGGACTGCTTTTATAATACGTGTCTATTAGAACAATTAGAAATCTCTTCTCTCGTAATCTGTCAGCGATAATCACTGGTTAGAAAACTAAACCGTAACTCAACAATATGCTGGAGGTACATTTTGATATTACCGGTCAAAGTGAATGTTCCAACCACCATTCCAATACTCCTGCCAGCTAACATGGCTTCTTCTTCGCCTTCCTTTCGTCGCCATGCAGCCCAGAGACCAACGCCAAGGATTAACATATAAAACACAACAATCGCCACCACTCCAACAATGTTAATATCCGCCATGTTTGAGCTTTTTCTGTTACGACTACTCTGGAATGCAAGGAGTGAAGTACAGTTCAGTAGAATGTCCGCTAGCTTGTCGAGCACGATAGGAAGAGAGACAGCGAAACGTAAAGTAAAGTTCCGAAACCAATGGTAAAAATCCACAGTAGAAAGCAAAACCCAGATATCGACAGATAGTAGCGACACCCTAGAAGTAACAATCTTCTTTTGAAGCGAAGAGACCTCGAACGAATTTACGATTGGGGAATAACTGAGGTGAGCTCGATAGAATTGAATGACTGAGAATAGCAGTATACTTGCATCGGCCTTAAATATGCCACATATATTTTTAGTGTGATATATATTAGCACCCATTTTAAATTGACTTGTTTTGATTTCGACGTGCTTTGTAAATTTGAATACATATATATTTGCTGGTACAGATATATCAGTTCGTATTGCACCCGTGGGCCACCACCACAATTGTCGTAACTCGAGAGATTTTACATCTAGTGTCGAGAGCCATACTAAACTGACTGCGCTCTTGAATCACGTCCAGTTTCAAAACGCTTAATTTAATACACTATTGCATTTGGAATCGCTTTAAATTCTGCCTCCTTATAGGTCCTTACACGGGAGAGGCCTCTTTTAACTTCCCTGGATGTGTGCACCGAGATTTCGTGTTCCCTTTCAAAGTTCTCATACAAACACGCAATAAAGGGGCCGCGAGTCCTTATCGTTCCCCTTCAGTATTGGCTCTTGTATTGGGTTAATAACATTAAGTAGGATAAGTGTGAGAAACGGGGCAACAGTAAACAAAACAGTCCTGTTTCTAACCTATGAAAACCGGTCAATACTTCCACCGGGACTTCGACGCTCTTATATTCTCGTTTGCACGCGACAACATTATCACTCAGAAGAGTAAAACAAGCAAATCATGGGATTAAAAGAGGAGCAAGACTTGGCGTCCTGTAAGAGGCTTTGTTTCTCTCTGTGCTCACAATGACAAAGAAGACGGTCGCTCATGAGATAGGACGGTTCGCTGTTCAAATACCTTTGAATCGAATATCACATAAGGACTTGGTGACATCAGTTTGCCCCGCACTGCGATGCTATCTCAGGATACGAAAATATTTACAATAGATTGACGAAATTCATATGTCTCTCTGCGGTGAGAAACTTTCGAAATGCAAAAACAAGGGAGCCACATATTTTTGAGACGACTATTCATTTTGGTGTTTCCTGACATGTTATTTCAAGGACAATACATGACACAATGTTGTGTTACTGATGTCAGTTCACCAAGTTGTTTTCGATTTTATCTCTAAGTTACCCTGGTTACTATTCTTCTATAAATACTGATAAAAAAAACCCTGTTTTCTGCGATACTTCATCAGAAAACTTTACCGTTTGTATCTTGGATCTTACTGTATTAGTCGGTCGTCGGATCTCGTATTGCGAGACCGGAATCACAGTTTTCTTTCTATCAGTAACTTTGCCGTTGCTATAGTCGACAGTTTAACAAATAGATTCTATGTTGCCGTGCGTCTGTTCACAGGAGACGTCAAAATGAAGTGAGAACAAAAAAGTGTAACCCAAGGCGATAGCCGAGTGTGCCACTGATGTTCTTACCACAATTTTGACATCCTCTGCCAATGATCTATTACTGTACTGGCACACGGCAACATGGAATATAACTGTTTTATGTAATAAAGAAACAAAAAAGAAATGTTGATGCGTCGTCTATACGTCTGTTCTCCATTAGCTCATAAATAAGAACTAATCAAAATACGATAATTTGACTTATTATATAATTAACCATTATGTAACTGGCTCTGTAACCTAAGTCTAACCAAACAAGCACTAATCAGGTCAGTATGACCTTAATCCACCTAATTTACGATCAGGCGTTCTTTTTTAAAGAAAAAAAAAAGAACGCTTGGTCGCAGGCTATAATTCACCCATTTACGTTCCCGTGTTAAAACAACGTGGACATTGACTTTGGAAGGAAATTCAGCAGAGAACCATTCAGCTGCAGGACAAGAAATATGAGAATCATATAACGCCCACAACAAGCTCTAAACCCAGATTTCAAGTGTAAAAATGCATTTGACTGTCTTGTGACTGAAGAGTGTTTTAGTACTTGTTTTGGTGAGATTTAAATTATAAGAATATCGCGCGGTTAAATTCTAAACATGACTGGCGATCTAAAAGCAAACAAAACAAATCCTACAGTCTTAAAAGGCCTTTGAACATGCTGTAACAATTTGAAAACTTGCACAAGGTCTAAAGTAGGGGTTAATAATTTAGAGAAGGTACCGGAGTACATACTTGTAATTCGAATATATTTCAGTGGGTACAGCGCATTTTCCAAATTGTGATACTGGCAGTGTTTAAATGCACCAATAGTCACTCCGCAAACCTCGGATACTGAGATAGACTGTTCTCATGCAAGAACAAACTTAAAAGTCTTATCAGGTTGCAATGGCATTTCGTTGCTCAATAAGCGTTAATATATAGGAACCCGTGGTCATGGTCGAATCATGTGAGGTGGTCGCTTACCGGGGGTAAAAACAGTAAAAACAATTTAAACTATCCGCCGTAAATAGGAGTGTTCGAAGTCGCCTACTAGGTGTAGCCAACTACGGCGGAGTTTAATCAACTATAGTCAGTGATTTCGACAAGCAAACCTTTGGTATTTTGGAAAAGTGGTCGCTTACGAGACTAGTCAGGGAGGTTCGACTTTATCATCCTTTACAGTTCACGGGGGAGGCAAGTTATCTAAGGAGTTTTTGCGTCTGAAATTTAGAGGACTTATCCTGAGTAGGGCAATATTTTGGGAAATATTTTACGACAGAAAGCACGCGGAGACATGCGAGACAGGCACAATGCCTCTTAGATGACCCTGATAAGCTCCGATTATAATGTTGACCTCACCTCACCTCAGTTCGCGTCTAAAAAAATAACTTTGCCGAAACCTTATGCTTTGAAAAAAAAAAAAGCGGATTGCGCCCTAATATATCCCAGTTAGCTTACACGGAGAATGAAAACTATTTACAAAGATGTACGTTTCTCTACTGAAGTTTTTTAAATGGCCTCATTCTTCTAAAACGTTGGAATTGTTCCAAATTCATTCCAATCTCAACCAACAGCACCTGTTAAAAGTAATACGACTGGTATAAAAACATTCATTGATCAACAGAAAATTCTCAACGAAAATACAGTGTCATCCAGACAAATAGTCAACATTGAAAAAGAGAACGGAAAGAGTCGAGCCAACATTAACCACACTACGTTTTCTTTTTCTATTTTTTTTTTTAATAGAACATCGTATAAACCGATACACCAAAAACAAAAGAAATGGTAAACCACGACCCCATCAGGTCACCTTCTAGTCCATCTCACATTTACGAATAGCTAGATGTGCCAGCCCTTCGCCGGTATGAATCACGATTTTGGAAAGACCATCTAGAGAACCTCAAATTTCTTTCTCCTGAGTTGAGAAGTGAAGCTATCATACTGATAAAATCACCCTAACAGGCCTTACAGGTTATTCGATCCTGTTTGACTGGGTTCAGTTCATCTCCACAACGCTCGAAGTCTGGGTTACCCTAGAAACAGGTCTTCATACACTTAAGACTGTACTTACTATGAGCTACTCCGGGAAAAATAGATTGTCGAGATGATGTTGTCACATTTATCTTAAGTAAAGCACCTTAAAACAGTATAAAAACTTACCTTTCTCCAGCAGGCAGTTGTTGTCTGAGGGCGTCGTTATGTTACTTTAACTGCAGCACTTAGAGTTCACGTGTACAAGTAAACGCGTGGTCAATGGAACAAAGTACGTTTTGCTTGGGTAACCTCTTACATAACGACATTTTGCGCAAGGGGTTATTGGAGATGCCTGATGCCAGTGCACCCTCTCACCCCTCGGAAGAAAAATCCCTTTGAGAATGCAACGTAAGGGCACGTCGTCCAAATGGCAAAATGAATCTCATTGCCTCCGTTTTAGTCCGATATAAGGTTTGCATTTTGAGGGTAACTCGCAGAGAATCTATAATAGGACGTTAGGAGTATGGTTTCCTTCACGGCCGATCGGGTATAGCACACTCCCCACTAAATATTTCTAGGAACTCCCCCGGGCCATGAAACAATAGGCTATTTCTGAGGTGCTTTTTGGCTCGGTTTCAAAACGAGACCAAGTAGAAAACCTTTCGTATGATGCGAGGTCAACTCACTGGTCCATCTTCACGTAAATCAAACTTATTTAGATTTTAATGATTCCGGACCAGGACTCGATAAATTGAACAGAGCGCAAAGGGAACCTACTTGTGAGCCAAAGGAAATCTCTGGATTGTGACTCACCTGTCACAAAGTCTTAGCGGATAACGTTTACATTTCGTATATGATCATGTTGTGATTACGCACTGGGTTGATTGGAATCGCAGCATATAAACAAATAAGGACAGCTCATTTCTTCCGGGGGTACGTCGCTGTGCCCTGTGTAAGCGTGTTACCACCGAAAGGGTTTGGACGGTTTCCAGCAAGAGCTTTCCTTTTTGGCAATAAGGTCACACAATTTATACTTTTTACCCACCGTAGGAAGGCCAGGTCCGCACAGAGAAAAAAAAAACCCTCACCTCCGCCTCCTGAAGTGGCTAGGAGTATTACCCATAGCCCCTCTGGATGAATACTAATCCATTTTAGGCTTCCCCCGGTATTTTGCTTTTTCAGAGGTGACCCATGTGAAATCTGTATCTTATTTTAGACCAGCACAAGTCTTTGATTTCACTTTATCAAATCCAGTTCAATCACTCTCAGATTGTTGTGACAATTCGCTGGTTTCTAGTTCTACTCCAGGGGAGGAGAAAAGCACTGTGTACACATTCATAAGAGCTTTACAACCTTCATTTCTACTTTACTCTTCATTATTACTCAACGAAAATAGACCAGTACTTTGAGATTTACTTCAATCACAAAGTAATGCGACCAAAACACATTTTAACAACTGACTTTCTATACAACGGCAGTTGGGAATGAATTTTTTTTTTTTGCGCTATTCGTCTTTGTATCAGGTTGGTTTTTTTTTAAAAGATGGTCTTTGCCCGCGGAATATCGGTTTCTGTCCATGATGAAAAGCCTTCTACAAAAGCGTGGTGCTGGCTCGTAAACGCAGACGGATTTAACCCTTTTTTGTGACCCACAAACAAAGAGAATTATCTGCAGAGGAGACGAAGTCGATGAAATAACATCAGATGACACTGTATATACCGAGTAACGAATGCGCACATAAGCAAGCTCAAATTAAAAAATCTAAAAATAACGTGATTTTTTCCCCATAAAATGCCAGCTCTCTTCGAATTGCATATAATCAGTCAGGCATAACAGTACACAACCAGTGTATACAAAAATAATGTATATTAGCATTTCGATGTCAAAGACGAAGGACATTCAAGCCACCTTTACTATGCATGCAGCGATTATCGTTAAAAGTTATTAATCATAATACAATTCCAGTGCTACAGTGGAGTAGCGACATTTTTTCAATTTAGTTTTATGTTGGGATGCCATCATTATTTCCTCGTGTGTGTTTACATGTCAAGGGAATAAAATGTATACAACATACTAACGTATGATCCAAAACTTGAGTTACAATCTAAGTTCAAAGCGCCGAGCTTCCGTCTCGTTCTTCCATGGGATATTTCTCATATGCCCCAGCACCTGTTTTCTCCAAATCGTACTTTCTAAAGCAGTGCAAGAAATCTAGGGATAATGGTAGAATTTCCCTCTCAAACAAAAACTTCAGTGAGTACGATACCACAATGATAGTGACAAAAGAAACTATCATAGACAGGGTACGAAAAGGAAACAGCTGACCATTCTCGTCATCGTAATACGGGTATTTGATGACCGGTGGAATACCGATTTTATCCTCTCCTCCCAATACGCGCAGCACAAGCCCTAGGACGTAGCCCATGAAAGATCCGTAAGTGTTGGTGCCGTTAAGATAGATGACACAACACAGCTGTGGGAACAGTATGACGTACACCAGGTCACTGCATAACGCCCACAAGCTGTAGATAGAGTCCACGGCCAGAGCCATAGCTGTAGCTGCCGCGCCAACTCCAAATATGGCTATACGCATCACCCAGACGACTTCCTTCTCCGAGGCCTGGAAGTAAAGTTACGCTTCGTTAGTTCAACATTTGAATGAGGAGTCTCTCGAGAATATTACACTGAAACTGAGAGGCAACGTTTTTTCTTTATGGCATCTTAGATTCTTTGATAAATGTACTTCTTATTTGCTCATTTTGGTGATCTTTTACCGCAGTTACGTAAAGGAAACTCTGAAACCCTTATATTTACTACCATTCATGAACTAAATGTGCACTAAAAAATACATGCACAGAACCTCACCTTTACAACTAAAAATACCCCGTGAGCCTAAACCCTAGCACAAGGAAAACAAGAAGGAAAGCAATCACTACTCGAAAGAAATTTTAAGCTCACAACGACAACAGCTACAAGCTGACCCTCCCCTGTGCGAGGGATAGTCGAGCGAGACAAATATTGCAGCGTTGTCATCTTTCCCGCGCGGTTCAACCGGTACTCTCTCGACCATGATAGATCAGAAAAATGAGTATGGGGAAAAATTTGTCGCATTGGAAACCTTCCACCGTTTTCCCCGCTTGAAGTTGTTAAAACTGAGCTTGAGACAAAGCAATATTTGAGAGGTAAAAGAAACACATTAGAATAAATCTAGCGACGAGTCTTTATGTATTACATACCCCTTGTCGAAAGATAAGTTTGTAAATGTTTCGAGAGAACATGGAGCTAGCGGAGAGGATGCTTGAGTCCGCAGAAGACATGACAGCGGCAGACACCGCGCCCAGTCCCACAAACGACACCGCGGTTGGTGTGAGGTACTGAAGCACCATGGGAAGCACCAGCGACTTGTCAAACTCCGCAGTCTGGTTAGTAGCGTTACCGGTTGGCTTAAAGAAATCAGTCTTGGTCCAATCTAGAGTGAACCAACAAAAGCTTCATGCTCATAAATTACTCCAATAAAGGCAAAATTACCGTGAGGAAACAATACAGAGTGCCGGGTCTTTTGTAGACTATTCTGTTCTGTCATGTTACATTTGAAAACACTTACATGTAACGGTCATCTTTGTGTTTGTAACCCCTTTTTCAGCCCTCTTTTTTAGAGCGTTTGTTTTGCAAACCGAAATATTGGGCAAATGCATTTAACTATTTCTTTTTTCATTTATGTCCTTTCTCAACCTCTTTTACTTATCTTGAGGATTAGGCTACTGTTTTGTTTAATTGTCATAAGCTTAAATTACTTACAATAAGGCTTCAATTAGTTTTTCGTGGTCGAGAGGTGGTGGATGGTGAAGGGTGGTGGTTGTTCATATTTACCTGCGGAGGCACCAATGGCCCCAATGAGGACCGCTGGGATAGCCATCACCACACACCCAAGCGAGGCTGCTAAAGAAAGGCCCTTCGCTTTAGCTGCCGTTTTACATGATAACACACGCTGAAAGTAAACTTGCCATGGAATACCACCAAATATCTGCACAGGTAACAAAAAAAAACACATGTTATCAATCAAAAACTCTAGGGCTGGCGATTGATAGCACAGTTTCTCCGCAAAGCCTGGGAACTGTAAGAGATTCGAAAAAAAGCTAAACAAAATTGATAACCGGTGTCAATGAAAACGCAAGAAAAACATGAAATCGCGACAAACGCGGGAAAACATATCACTGGTGGTAAGCGCGGGATCGAAAACATGTACCCGGTACCAAGCGCGGGACGGTCAAAACAACTGCACCTTCTTTGCCCTGATGGGTTAACAAAGCACTTTGCAAAAGTAAAAAAAAAACAAGCTGCGGCTTTCGAAATCATTAGAAAACTGTTTTAGAGTACAAAGAAAGACATTTTACCAACAGCAGACCATAGTCGATCCACACTCCAGTGTACGTAGAAGACCACTCGCCCACCCACCGTGTGGACTGGGTCGAGATGCTGCTGACCGCTGAATTCGTCATGGCGAATGGAATACTGAGCCACTAACACAGGCAGAGAAAGGAGAGTTAGTGAGTAAGGAAGAACAATAGAACTCGTCCACACAATGCAGGATGTGACAAAAATTGATCGCTCACTACCTGGACAAGGAAGAAAAGGTGAAATAAGATTAACTTGCCCACAAGTACAGCTGCAAAAGTCGCCTTGTAACGAGAAAAATGCCAGCGATGCCCAAAACCCGAGTGCTAATACAACCAAAGCCTAAATAATGTCTTTCGGTTCTTCACCCAAACAACACTTAAAGGGGCTAGGTCACACTATTTCAGGTAATTTTGTTTAATTCTGTTAATTATGAGCTCTAAACGTCAAATTGGCAGAGCAAAAGTCTTTCATTTGCAAAATCACGGCCACATAGCGACTGAGAATGATTTTCCAGCTGTGTAAATGACATTTTTAGATAAACTAATATAAATTTGAAAAAAGGTGGGCCTACGTTTTTCAACTTTACCCAAATGCAATCCATTGTAATCCTCTCCAGTTTTGTCCATCCATGTCCCTTCTTGGCTTTCCTGTGTTTTGTTTGAGATCTGCTATAGTTTTGAGCCGTTTTTGTGATATTTCAGTTAATTCTATGACCGTTTGATCAGTGCTGAAATTGCCTAAAATTGCGTGACCTAGCCCCTTTAAGGCATCACAATATAAATTTAAAACCTAGCCAACGCACAAACTATATAACTATCCACCGCTATCCGGGAAACAGCCCGGAAGAGGGAAGAACTCCCATATGAAAATGTCAGAGATGCTCGTCGTTTTCATATGTTTAGGGGTATAAATCAAGAAATCTGTTCTCACTTAGGGTTCTCATGACGAAACACCACTATTCTTAGCTTTTAAAGTATCTTTTAGGGTGCACTTGAAGAAATAACGATTAAAATCCGCTCTTATTTCTTTTCTTTTCTTTTTTTGTGGCTCGATTTCTCGAGATTTCCGCCGGTCTCTCGAGTCCGGTCCACTAGCACGGGCTCCTTTTCTGAACAGCGGCTGGTAATTGAGCCTACTCCGGTTTTGAGTGGTATCCTTTATGGATCAAATAAAGCTTGAGCCACACCAGATTGGTCTCCTTTAGGGGATGTAATTCAAATGTTCCGACGAATAACCCCGACTTTTTCGAATAGAAGGCCGCCCCCCCCTCCCCTTCCCCTCTCGGGTAAACAATCACCGACGTAGATTGCACCGCTGGCCATACTCACCAATCCAACGAAGATGCATGTGAGCTGGATAACATCGGTGTAAGCCACAGAGTAGAGCCCTCCAATCAGCGTGTAAAAAACAGCGATACACGCCGAAACAATGATGGAGGCAAAGCGATCCAAGTTGATGACGACGCTGACTGTGGCTCCGAGGGCAGCTAAGATGGCTGCCGACCAAAATATCTCTCCCAGTAAGGCCGGAATGTATAGCAGTCCACCCATGCGCAGACCGTACTTCTCTTGAAAAGGGTCCAGCATCGTGAAGTACTCTTTTTTGCGCATAATCTTGGCAAAAACCAACCCGCCTGAGAATCAAATGATGAGAAACACAGGAAAGGCGTTTCACTTTTTAATTCCAAGGTCGGTATTGGATTGATATAAATGGATGTTGTTGTGTATAGAATGGTTTTCACTTGATTGTCGAAAGAAATTCGCATTTGATTTGGTTTTCAGTTTTAAGGTTAGTGATTGGTTTAGAAAAACTCGCGCCCCTTTCTTAACTAATCAGAAGTTGAGCAAAACAATCGTAACTCGCTCTCCTTCGTTTTCCCGCGCCTTACACCGGCTACATGTATTTGCTTTGATTTTTGATTGGTTCACTAAATTGAGATTAGCCAGAGTAATTCAACTACTTTGGTTTTGGTTTTAAGGCATTCAATTAAATTCCGCCCTTTCGTTTTCTTTTTGTGATTTTCGCACATAAAATGCATCAATTTTCTAGAACACTCACCTATAACCAGGCTGAGCGCATATCCCCAAGGTGCCTGGGCCCAGACGAGACCTTGACCCGAGTCATACACCACTTCTGCTGTACCATTGATGTATCCTCCTCCAACCCAGGTTGCTATAGGAACAGACAGGTTTATTATACCAGGAGATTACGAAAGTATTCGATTTAACGATAGTCTGCCATACGGAACACCCATCAAAAGTCTTCACGGTTGTTATTGTGGGATGTCACGCAATGTTACTGTTGCGTAACGCGTGAAGCGGGAAAATAGAGAAAAAAGGGCGCGATTCGGGATCAACAAGGTTCAAGTAACGCTAGACTCTGTATTTGAAACAACTGACTTAATAATCAGTACTAACATAAACCTCAAGCATTTTGTTGTGAAACGTAACTTCTAGGGCAGAAAAATGTGATTTTGAACCCGTTCAAAAATCACACTCGTCAACTGAAAACGCCTTTGACAAGAAGAAAAAATGGAAATAAGAGCGAGAAAAAAAAACCGACAAAGAAATTACACTAGAAATGAAGCCCGATAAACAAACGGTAACAAAAACGATAAAATTGTATGAAAAAAGATTGTTGGAAAGAGAACGAACACAACAACATCGAATTATGTCCGAACGCCTCATAATATATTCTTAAAACTGAACATTCGCAAAGTCAACAACTTCACCGCACTTTTGTACACAAAAGAACGCAAGAAAATTCCGACAATCCGGCTTTGTTAAAAAGCCTTTATTACCTGTCATTGTGAAAGTGCCAACAAATATTCCAATACTTCTGCCCGCTAACATTGCTTCTTCTTCGCCTTCCTTTCTTCGCCTTGCGGCCCACAGGCCAACAACGAGGATTAACAAATAAAACACAATGATCGCCACCACACCAACAATGTTGATGTCCGCCATATCTGATGAATGCTGTCAGTGTACAACAAATTTAGAAGAATCTGAAAAACGAAAAAACATAACCTCAAACTTACGAACGTTTCGCCAACATTCCTCACTACTTCTAGGAACTTCGCTGCTAATGATAATAGAACTCACTTCTTGCGCCTCAAATGCAAAAACCACCACCTCTGTTGAGTCTGTTTTAATAACAATGATCAGCTCTCTAATTCAATTCCAAGGTAGATTTGTGCGGTAGCTTTACGATAGAACTTATGCGGGGTAAACTCTTCCTAAGCGACCCAGCAATCTGTTCAGTCTAGCTAGAGTGTTTGTCGTGCGGTTTGCTGTCATTTAAAGACAAACTATACTTCAATCCGCGCCACTTCATTCAATCATTCCCCCGGCTTCTGGAGTTTTAAAACAAGAGTGTTTAATTACATTTTGAACCAATCATTGGCAAGGAATAAATGGCTTTTGTGCCATGTTTAGTTTGAAACAAAACCAAACCAAATTAATCGACACCCTTTTAAGGCAAAGAAAGACTGATGTTAGGCTGATCAATCGGCTTGTTGGAATAACACATCAAAACAATAGTTTTTTTTTTTCTATTTGTAATCGCTTACTTTGGCTTTTAAGAGCTCTTTTTAACTCCGCAAAGAAGTCTAAATGACTTCTGCCGTGAAGTAAATTTTTGCACTACAAAACGGCTCTCCTAATATTTATTTTATCAGATCGATTTTCACGATAACGGCTAATAAATTACAATAAAGTCGCAAGCAATCGCGAAATGCCCAATTTAGTAATTAACATAATGCATGAAACCAGTGAACTAAACTCAATGAAGCGCTCTCGCAATCTATTTTTTCAAAACAACAGCAGCAAAAAACAAAGCTATCATTGAATAACTGAACGGTAATATGTGGTCGTTAATAGTTTCACTTGCGGAGATTTCAAAATGTAATCATGTAGCATCCGCTTTCTTTTTAGCCTGCGTGGCAGGTGCGTAGCAGGCGATTTCAGTCTCTCTCGTCGAGGACGCCAAGTCCACGGTTGTTGTGTTGCCTCAAATTCGAAACATTAATTTTCCTGAAAGGTGCCATACTAGTGCCCATACTAGTGCCCATACTAGTGCCCATACTAGTGCCCAAATATTTGAGTGACTATTTCACAAGAAATTATAACGTGCATAAATACAATACTCGCAGAAGAACAGATTTGCACCTGCCTAAACCCAAACTTACCCCTGGAAAACGAACCTTTAGATATTCGGGCCCAGCGTTTTTTAACCTCTTACCCCGTAGCATTCAAAACGCCGAGTCACTTTCTTCTTTCAAAGTTTTAGTTGACGACTACGGTTTTTAAATTATATAGTAACTAGATTTTTATAAGTTATTGCATGCTTGTTTATACTCTATACTTTTAATGACTATTACTTGTATTTTTAAATTTATATCTTGTATTTTTTAAATTTTATCTTGTATTTTTAAATTATCACGATGTTTTGTATTTTTAATTATTATAATTTTCTGTCCAGGGCCCCTCTGGATAACAGCCTCGTCGCTGAATGGGCCACCCTGGCTAAATAAAGTTTACCTTTACCTTTACCTTTACCATACATTCCTTTTAATGGTAGTTCTGAGAACTTGGTGTTATATCAACTTGAGATTATGTCAACCATGTTGATATATTTCTTCAATCTCGTCACATGGGGTTACGGCAATGTATTGTATTTGCAGAAACATTGTATACACCATATTAGTTTCCCTAATTATAAGAAAGTGAAACCAAACAGAGCCTGCAATGTGATATCTTTAGAGATAACGTTAAGGGCATAGTTTTCCGGTTTGACTGTAGAAAACGCGTAATGAAAGGAACACTAAAGAGTGATTTTGACCATGAGGATCTTGGTTTGACCTTTTAAAGACTTCTCAAATATCGCCTTCAGCTACAATTCAAAACTCTCGACTTTTTTTTACATTAATCACGCGACATCCATGATTTTAAACGAGTGAAAATTAGAGAAAAACGAAAACAAATTTAATATATATCTTTGACAGCAACGATTAAAAGTATTTTCAATCGACGCTTCGATGCATCAAGCATCATTCTCAGTCTTGAGAATGATGCTTGATCATCGAAACGTCGATTGAATCTTTCCTGTTAAATGTTTTAGCAAGCAACTTATTATTCCAACTCTAATTGTTTATACCCAATTCTTGTTCATTTTTTTTTGAAAATACGACATCTAAAATAATATTTTTATTAATTTTAATTTTTTTATTATTTTATTAGTAATCTACTTTATTTCATGCTTTGTTTTTTAAATATTCAACAAAACATGAAAAAAAATACACATAAAATAAACTGAAGGAGAAGATTGCTTTGCTGCCTAAAGTTCTAATCAACGTCCGAAGTCGATATCAGAAAATAAAAATCCACTGTTTTGTTCCTTTGTCGCCTTCTTGTTTAAAAGATAATAAGCACACAAAGGCTATTACACAGAACAAACAACTGGAACTTATTGTTATTTGTTTCAATTCGTTTTAATATTCTCCAACATGCAAATTTAGGTTCATTTACTTAGGTTTGAAACTGAAAGGACAATATAGAATTTCAAAATTCGCATTTGTAATGAAGGGTTGATGCAGGAGTTTCGTAAAATATGTTTGCCGAATTGGAAGACAAAGACCCGAACGCATATTAAACGAGACAATAATTAACTCAGTGTGGTGCTTGTGAAATACAGCGGCAGTTCACAGTTAACCCGAGTTAACAATTTAAAAGTATCTCAACTAAGCGAAAGGTGCCCTTCAAATAATGAGGAATAATGATATGCTCGACCTTTCTGTCATCTGCTTAGTAGAATGACCAATTAAAAAGGTTTTAAACTCGGATTAAAGCTTTATCTATTTGTGTAGGCGGCTTCGAAACTGAGCGATGTCAACCGTATCAACTGGGAGCGTGAATTTCGGCCATCAAATAGTGTCACGCACTATTGAGCATTTGTACATTTTTTGATTGAAAATACGTATCTGCTCCGAACTCAAACATATGCTGGGAAATACCTTTACAGATACCATGCCGAAGCATTTAGTAAACCCGATTTTCTTTTTTTCTTTTTGCAAGTTTTTGGGACTGTGAAGTGTGACTAACGAGACATTGAGCCGTGCGTCATAGCTGCACGTAGAGTGAAAAATTACAAGTATTTTTAAAGCGTTTGAACTTTTGAAACCCATTTGTCTCTAGGAGACAAAGGAAAGGACCCACATAGCAAGCGAGATTAATGCCTGATACTACACGAAAAGTGCACTGTAAGTGATGTAAGTTAAAGCTGTGAGACAGAGAAGCACAGCGCATGATAATGTTTACAAACACACGCTTCACAAGGGACAAAGTCAAATTCTAATCAAGTGATAATTTAGTTACGCGCGATTTCTCTGGGTTAAAAGGATATTTACTTGCCTTTTAGTAGACAGTAAATTGCCTCCTTGATCTTGCTTCTGTAAAGAACGCTTCTGTTCTCGTATGTTTGTCGACGATTTAATTTGTAGAGACTCTCCTCCCCTTATTATCTGGGGGCCTAGGACCTAGGAAAATCGACGTCAGAAATGTAAATAACGAATTACATGGAACTAAAATCGCTTCGGTAAATAATGCATGGAAGTGGGCATAAAAACTATTTAATATTACTTACCGCATCAACTCTCGTTCAATAGTTGCGCTTTTCAGGCAGTTTTATAACTTAGTGCATAGGTGGGTTTCCTGTGTCCAACCTACGCATCAGGCGAGAAGAGTCTGGTAATGATTACGGTATAAGGAACTGTCATGGCGACTGTAAATACGAGAGAAGTTACCCTATCTTGCAAAGACCAGAGCTCTCGTGATTACGTGAAAGGATATTCAGTGCCTTCAAGAAGCTCAACGCGCATCACTATGCAACCGTGTCAAGTAATTTTATAATTCTATGTTGTCCATAGTGGATAAATGGTCAGAAAATTGAGAAGCAAAAAGAAAACTTCTTCGGAAGTTCAAGAATATATCCGACAGCGCTATGAAGACACAGCCCTTGCTATATACCGTGAACAGCATGCCAACAGGCAAAGTGAGATATCTGGGAAAGAAAGTGCGCCAAAAGTGCGGCACGCTTTCGAGGAAATTGCCGAAGTTGGAGAACCCAGTGGAGGACATGATCTCCAAAGTCATCCTGTACCAAGTCTACCAAGGGGTCTACCCAAGAACAACGCGTACGTACAATCTCAAATATGTGTCATCATCTAGATAAGGACGACATTGTGGCGAATTGGGAAACTTAGGTAGGGCATTGAAACAGTCAGGGGAAAAGGATCGCCAGGAGCTGAATAGGAACAGAACTTGTGGATTTTTGATCTTGAGAGAGTTTAAGTCAACTGTCATTTGGAACGTCACCAACGCTCACGACATTTAAGACGAGAATAAGAAAAATTGACCTTTCAGACCTCATTTACCACAATAGCAGTTGCTACAAACTATGTAAATCGTGAACAGTATCATTTTATAGTATTAATTATTATGCTGTAAATAAGTATTTATCAACTTTAATATTTAAATTAAATTACTTCAATATATAAATAATTAAATTATTTATTTTTGTAAATTAGTCATCAGCTATCGAATTTAGTTAGGTGTCCTCAATTAGCTAATCTATAGCTAAATATACTGACACATTAATAAAGTTTTCATTCATTCATTCATTCATTCATGCATGCATCATTCATTCATTCATTCATTCAAATTTGTGCATGGGACGAAAGTATTCCCATGATAAACACTACAAATTTGTCAACTCCAGACAAAATTGTTGATCATAGTCTGGTATCATTAAAATTTGAAGATGATAATTAGCATTATAGTTTCACTAGAGTAAACATGAGTGCTTTGATTTTTTTCCAAAATAAAAATCAGTTGAAGAGCAAAAAAAAATAATTTCACCTGATAGAAGTTAAAAACTTTTGGTTACAAGACATTTACATTTGTCAAGATGTCCACTTGCAATTCACCAAACAGTATAGAGGCTAATGGAATGATCACTCAGACAAATATTACCTACTCAAAAATAATAACCTGCTTAGCAGTTGTTTCTTGACTGTTGGTGAATATTTGAATATATTTACCAGTTTGCATAAGCTTAACGGTAAGTTGATGGCAAAATATTATGTGTCAACCCTCCAAGTTAACTTTTTTCCTTAGTGGCCATTTGGCCACTGAAAGTTTATTTTTGGTTGCCAGTGAAAAATGTTAGTTGCCAAAGTATAAAAATTAATTATTAATTAATCAGTATCAATAAACAAATTAATATATTAAATAATAAAAAATAATTATTATGCTATCCCTGAGCAAGCTCAATAAAAAGTGATTCAAATGTACTCCGCTTACTAAGCATGTTGGGAAAAGCAACTCGTACTTGAACAGAGAAGCTGTACAAGAAGAAAAGCCGCTAAGGACGAGCAATAACAGCAACAATATCTCCTATCAATCAACCGACCCTTCACACAAACACACTGAGCTAGTTGTGAAATATTCACCCCGAAAAGTGCGATTACGTGTGATTTACTGCCATTTTTCCACGAAAATATTGTTAACTGAAATTTGCATATTTAAAATGTTTTCCAAAATTACTTTAAAGAAAGACTATTAAAAAAGTTTTTTTTTTGGGGGGGGNGAATTCTCAAGCTGCACATAGACATCACTTATGTGTCACAACATTGTAGAGACCAGTTTGACCTAAGATTCTACATTTGTGGTCCAAAGATGAAATTTTCTTGCTCTTTTATTGTCTTCCATACCAACACAATGATTTTAGATTCATAACACAACAAAACAGATTATATAAGATAAGTTCTGTGTTCTTAAAAGTACTAAAAATACACTTTTCAAACTTCAATGAATTTGCCTTCCCAAACAATGACAGGAAGAATCAAAACATTCCCTTAATCCACCAAAACACAGCTACTGTTGTATATTTACAAATTGTGAAACGGGAAAATTTTAATATGTAATAATAGCTGGGATATATATTGCTATAATAATAATAATATATTCTATTACGAACTCTTACTTTTGAAACTTGTTAACTAGAACTTTAAAGTTACTATACCTAAATCTCTCAGAACTTCTACAGTCAAAATGATGGCATTAAGAACAGGAAATCAAACTTCCATGCATATGGCATTATATTTGCCAGCCAAACATCATTGAGATTATGTCCCCAACTTGTAATGAAAGCACTATTTATTAATGTCGCCTGCATGCTCTGTAATATAATGCTTTTGTGAGCATTATATAATAATTTAATATAATGTTTATAATTCATGTCAGTCATACTTTCAAAATGTTCTAGAAAGTGTTCTATCACAGAGTACATACAATAAAGCAAGTTTATTTTAAACTTTGAAAATAAAGACAGCTATTGGCAGCTGACTTCATGTATTGTATTACATATGTCTTTAACTTTACAAAATCATGACATATTGTTATAATGTTCTAAAACAGGTCCTGCATTTAAATGGACCTTTAATGTCGATTAAGAGGCAAACAAATGAATACTGTTAAGAAAAAGACTGTACAATGATCGAACTGTTGAAACTCTTCTAAGACTTAGCCCATTCCATGGATGCTGGTTCTAGACAGACCCAATGAATGAGAGTCTTTAACTAGATTTTAATAACTTACAAAATATAAGGACATTTAGAAAACGTCACAGGACAAAGAGTCAGATTCAAGATCTGGGTAGAAAGAAATTGAAATTATACTGTGCGAGCTGATCATCTACAATGTAGCATTCCTTTACTCACTAAGCAGGTATCTCTGTCAAAACAAGATCTGTTCTGACAAAATAAATAAGTAAAGTTCAGTAAACATCGCCGTCAAATGACTCTTAGATTTGTGGGTATTTAAACATCTCAGTTTTCAGTGTGCATCAATCAGTCTGTCAGTACTGTGGTGATATTTTCCTTCAAAATCTTATGCACCATCAACTGATGTATCCCCTTGCCACAGAGATGCTAGGCTGGCGTACTCATCTACAAAAATATATGAATATTCATTAACTTAAAATTTCTCTCTTTTCTTAACAGTCAATCTTGTTGTGCAGTAAATAAGGTAAATGATGGGACTGGATAAGCATAATGCACAATTAACTCTGACTGCATGTGTTATGGTCAGAAGGATTGGTCTGTCACTTCACTCACCCCTCCCAACCTCTTGCCTACCTGGAGCCCTCAGCATTCCAATCTTGAGTGAATCTATCTATTTCAGTGCTCTAATTTGACAGTTTTGCAAAATCGATCATTTGATACCACATGTACAATCATTTTTGTTTGTATTTTGTAAGATGTATTGCCACTTGTCGATCATTTGAACTCACCCCTGCCCTGAGTTCTAAATGCTTTATCTCCTGCTGTAGACTTTCAATCTTTATTTCGACCTCCTGTAGTTCATTGACACTGCCACCAGTGGCATCCGAGGGGCGACCACACATCAATCCCTGAAGAATGCGCTTCCTGAGTAGAAGAGAAATACATTGTCAGGTAATATCCCTTGAAAAACAGGCACTAAGGTTCATCCCTTAAAGGGAACCTTGAGCAACACATTGTTCATCACCATGGTTACAAACCTTCTGAACTGCATTGCCCGTAGAGCAAGCTGAAGTTCCTCAATACCCAGTTCAGTTTCAGAAAACTGATCTTCAGAACTGCTTCCTGCTTCAGATCCAGGCCGTTCCTCTGTCTATTAAGGATACAATTACACATTTTAAAGAATCCAATACTATAAAAATGCAAGGAAGTATTTTTCACTGTTAAGATTTTGCAATTAGAAATTGACTTGATAAAAAAAGAAAATCATACCTTTGAAAGCCAGTAATTTTCTCCTTCCTGCTTGAAGCGCTCTAACTCAGTTAACAAATTAGACATCAACTCATCTGACTGATAATCAAAGATTCTCAAAACCTCAGGAAGCCTGAAACAAAAAGAAAATGATGTTACTAACTGCAATGCATGCATATTGTATAATGAAAGAAAACAAAGTTTGATTTAAACACATGGGTTCTAGCACTGGCCAGGTTAACCATGATATGCTCATAGGGAATACACTGCACCTTCCAAGTACCTCTCTCCATCCAGAAATATACACTGCTACCATGGAGTAATTCCCAGTTAGGTTGCCCAGATGACATCACTTCTCAATATATTAGAGATCAGCTGCCAATGACCGGCATTCCATCCCAGGGGGATAGATATATCAGCTAACAACAACATCAACTAGTTGATGATAACCTTTACTGACAAGCAGCATTGCAACTGTAAGCTGTGTGTGTATACCAACCCGTCCAATTCATAAAGTGTGACAAAACTCCTGGGTTCATCTCCATCCATAACTCCAGGTACCTTACATCTGAAACAAACAACATTCAACTGATAAAGAAAGCATACCAAGTATTCCACAGTAGTATGAGTTAGCACAGTCTGCAGCATTACACATTGATATTGCAATACAAAATCCCACCATGACGGACACCAAAAATTCAAATTTAGCTGTCAAAGTGCATGTCAAAATTTATCACTACAGCCGAACGTCCAGTTGCAACCACCTCTCGTAAGTGAACACCTCTCCTCAATGACCAGTGTTCCAAAATACTGAAAGTTTCCAAGTCAAATCACTGTATTTGGAACCTCTTGTAAGTGACCATGACCACTTTTAGAGCTAAAAGTTTGAAATTTCCTTTGTTTTTAACCTCCTGTAAGCGACCACTTGACAGATAATGGAGCAAAAAATGGATAAGGTGTTGTAACATTATCGTATTCCTGGCTAGTACAAGAAATGGAAATTTCTCAATGTTGAAGAACCTGATTTTTTTTTCTTGAAATTGACTTTTACATGAATAAACATTGCATCGCCATTGGTGCATGGGTTAAGTCTGGCAGTTACCATATTCTAATGGAGAAATATTTTGACCCATTATGGTCTAAGTGCTCGTGAGCGACCACCTCCCATAAGCGACCACCTAGGCTTGACATTTTGGGTGGTTGCTTAGAGGCAGTTCGACTTTAATTCTTTACTTCTTATTATTTGCTGCCAAAACAGCTTTTGTTGAAAATTAATATAGATCTACCTGACAAGAACTTCCAGCAATTCCTTATTTTCTGAAAAAGACACAACCACCTTGGCTACACTTTTCTTCTTCTGACGAAGCTAAAATGAAACAAATTTCATAATGTATTGTTTTACATAAGACAGTTCAAGCCCAAAACCTAAAATTACAAATTAAACTAAAACAAGAAAATACTCATCTGCAAGTTTTACATACCATTGATCTCAGAAGGTCACTATCCCAGAATAGAGCTGATATTTCAGCACTGATAAGATAGGGTTTGTTATCAAAATTGATGACATGAAAGGAATAATCACTTGTTATCTGCACCCTAAGAGAATAACAAAAACACCATGATTTAACCTCTGTGCATTTGTACATTTTGAGGTCAACATTCTAGTGTACATTGTACAGTACTCAGTAGTGCAGGCTAACTGTGTTCAGTGGACATCCACAATAATCTCACAGCATTTAAGAGAACTTTTAAGTTGTGTTTGTGCCAGTGACCAGACTACAACTCGGAGCTGTCAAACAAGGGTGGTGGGAACATAAAACTACTAAATAAAAGTGGTGGCTGTAAAAGGCACACGTACATCAGCAGTCTTACATCTTTACAAAGACTACCAACTTATTATAAGTGACTGGCAAATCATAATGTAAAATAAGTACGTTCATTACAAAATAAGTTAGCTGACCTCTTAATGAGGCCTTCGGGTTGGCTTTCAGCAGATGAATCTAACTCCAACTCCTGATTAATTTGTTCCATGAAATCCAGATCTTCCTCACACACAGATGAATCTGCCTGTAATCCTGTATTGGCTAAACATTCAACAGAATAATATCAAACAATGAGCAAATCATATACACTTTTTTAATTAAACACATCCAAGTACCATGTAGCATTTAATACCATAATTTACTATAATTGTGATATATACAAAGTTTATCTAACATACTTTGATGCGGTTGTGAATTCACAAGTTGACTGGCATACTGAGCTGACTGACTCAACCAGCTGGAAGAGGACACAAAAGAAAAGAAATGGCAATTTTATTAATAATTTATTTATTGTTCTTAACTTGTACATACTAAATTTTCCACCATGATCATTTAAGCCTTCTTAATTATAATTTGGACAACCTATATATTAAACTTACTTTGCAACATTGTGTTGGTATGTCATATCAATTGATAGTGGGAAGTCTAAAATAAAGGAGACGGCTGTTAATGAACCTTGAACCTTACTATACATACACTGTGCATTATAAAAGTCAAGTTCTCATCTTACTTGATATTCATTTTGTGGTCTGTCCATTCTCTAGTAAGTGGACAATAATTTTATTGCTCTCAAATACAACATTGTTCTTAAGTATTGAAGTACATTACGGTGAAAATCATTCACAGTGCTAACCTGGAATCATTGAATGGTTGGTGGATGGTGCACACAGAACAGAAACAGCTTGCTGGTTTAAGTATAGCTGCTGTTCTGGGGTGAAAAAGGAGACTCCTGAGGCTGTTGGCTGCTGTTGCTGCTGACGTTCACCTTCTCTGTCATGGTTCTGTAAGAATGTGACCAAAGGAAATATAAATGTCTTGAGTAATGGAGAATGGGCAAGAAACAAGCATCTTGAAAAAATTTGGGAAGAGAGCAAAATGAACTTCTTGCACCATATTTTAGGGAGTGGAAAGTGACACGGCTACATGAAACAAATAACTTGTACCTGTCCAGCAGGAGATAATGGTGCAGGGGAATTATCAGGACAGAAAATGGCATAATCCTCTGCTACAAGTTCATCATTGATGTGAACATCATCCTGGGCATTTGTGTCACACAAACAAAGGGACAATGTACCTTCCTGTTGAAGAACAAATTATTCTTAATTGACACTAACATGAAACAATGCAAGTAATGATTGATATATGTATTAAATAAAACAAAACGGAAATAGTGAACATCAGAACTGCTATATTGCTCAGGATAACCATCATTGCCTACCTTAACTCCGCAAACAATTGCCACTAGCTGCTTATAATTCTTTGTTAAACGATAAAACCTGTGAGTAGATCCTGGCGACCATTCTTTACACTAGTGAATCAAACAAACACAATGTCAGCAAACATTTACAAATAAAATACTTGTAACTGGTCATTTACTCACAAAGTCCCCATCTTCCATTGCGTCGGTACAACATAATTTCCATAATCATCAATCCATGCATAAAATACATTTATTTCAACAACCTTCACAGTTTTAGTGAAATTTCCACATTGGCAAATGACCTTTGCACTAATTATGTTTAATTCACAGGAACAAAACAATTGCCTAGTTATTTTTAGGGCATTTTCCCTATCACACCAACTGAGGCTAATAATAGAGACTTAGTGATCTTCATTTTAAGTTGAGAAAAAAAAAATCATTTTTTCTTGCCAAGATGTCACTGAAATGCTTTATTGACTCTAAGCCTTTAAATTTAGCGTAATCATACCCCTCCAAAAGGCTGGACGTAGGCCAACTTGCTGGGTAGTGCTTGAGCTGGGAGGTTGATAAATTGTGATCTAGACAATGATGATAAGACACTCACAAATAAATAACTATATGGTCACTGTTAGCAATAGCCCTTTTCACAAATAGTAATTTTGTATACTTAGCTTTGGGCAGGAGTTTTATGAATGTTTTCAGCAGGAGGGCAAAACTTTTTCAGCTCAGCTACACCTGTGCTTTCTAAAAAACTTGCCTCTAAATGGTCAAACTAGGCGGGCAACAATATCCTCAGTGCTGGCAAAAGTTGGCAAGTGAGATTCCACACTTTAGTGATTCAACTGTGAAACATTCATAAGCTGTAGAAACCTGAAATATATATATTAAATTTCACTCACCGAAGAACTCGTAGGCTTGACAAGGGTAATCTAGCTGTATTTCCATAATCCACATAAAAGACCTGTCAACAGAAGCACAAGCAGCAGGGTAGGTAAATGAAAGCATCAGTAAGTGCAGAATAAGGATATTTTGAGACTTTCGTAGATCCATTTAAATTCTCTGCATTGGGATCTCAACCTCAGGGCTAACTTACTGTTTAATGTCAAATATTCAAGTTATAGTAAACTATTCATCATGTGACTAAGTCATCAGAACTCTCATGACAGCTGACTGGCATTCATAATTCCATATTCATGTCCAGTGCTCAGGTTGAATCTATGTCAGTAACCAGGAAGTAAAAATAGACTTAGTACAGATCATGTGGAAGATGTAGATCAAAAGGTCTGGGTTTCAATTCTCGCCACCACTGTTGTGCTATTGGGCAAGACACAACTCCTTGCTCCTCCAATTGATTGTATCACAGCGACTCCCTAACTACTTAGGTACACACCTCTATGCTGTCCACAGACTGTATACCAACCACCAGTCCACGGTACCATTGGCCATCCTCATACAGTGCACAGCATGCCTTGAAAATCATATAAACAACAAAATTAGCCTCTATTATACAACTCAATCTAATCTACTGCTGTATTTGTAGCCTGCAATAAGAGACATCTCATTCAGTTCTTTCCTTGATGAAAGACTTCTGCAATCCAACCAAACAAATACCTCCATACTGATGATGTATCTTTATTGAAATTTGCATACCATATAATTAGAGGATATTACATCACCGCACATAGAAACAAATTTCTCTTCGAGTGTTCAAAATATTTCACTCGTTCGCTGCGCTCACTCACTTCAACATGAGAAGAAAGATCTTTTATCTCCAAGTGACCATGCAATGTTCTATTATTATTTTTACATGTGAAAATAACATGTGTCATTGTGGAGAGGTTGAGTGAAGATGTAAGAAGAAGATGGCTATTCCTTGAACACTTCCTCAGACAACAACCTAACAATCACCCTGACATGGGCCCCCAAGGGAAAGAGAAAGAGGTCGCCCAAAACATGGTGACACACAGTGGAAAGGGAGAGGTCCAGCACAGGGTGGCAGTCCTGGAGTGAGGTGCGTGCCGCAGTGCAAGAGACGAGTCGACAGAGAGCGAACGTAGAGGCCTTATGTGCCACTTTGGTGAGAGTAGGTGGTGATTCGCTTACACCTACCTGGCCAACAGAAACAAAGCACCCAGGCATCTTGTATCTTGCACTTTCTCGAGTTGAATAGAACTGTCTGTAAATGAAAAACACAAACTGCTCGACAACATTGCTTTAAAGAAGGCCATTTTCTCTGCTAAGATTTCTGGGATCTTATTTTGGGTAACCAACATGAGCTGTTTTTGATTAATTATTATCTTTGAAAAACATCAACCAATTAAACATGAAGTACCTTACGGTAGATAACCAAACAACCAAAAAATCTGGCTAGTGTCAAAGGCTCATATACTACTCCTGGAGTGCCAAGTGGGCAAACTCTTCTCAATGCTGAAAAGCTTCGGCCAGTTATTGTTTACACAACTAGATAACACAGCAAAGTAAGGTGAGGTTAAGTCTCCATACAGGCCAAGTGGCCAAACAGGCTAGTGCCCATCTCTGGTTTCTGTAGCGTGAAGCGACTAGAAGTATGTCTGCTCCCCCCTGGATTGAATGCTAGTCCATTGCAGAGTTACTCCCACCATTAAATTTGCCGGTATCCATTTATACACTGTGAGAGTAACATGTCTTACCTAAGAACACGACACAATGGGCCTGTGTCTCGAAGGTCCTGAAATGTTTTCGCACCCAGAAAGCCATAGCAAAATCTCAAACCTTATGATTACAGAGCTGTTTTCTTCACATATTCTTAATATGAAGAGTTTCCAGAGCTTTTGAGAAACAGGTCCCAGGGCTCAAACCCAAACTGCTCAATCCAGAGGTGAGCACACTAACCAGGACGCCACTACAGCTCCACAGTAACAAAGTACTAAGGGTAATTTAGTTAACATCAAGAGAAACGTACCTCATGTCTTCTGTCAAATCTTGCAGCTTTGGCCAGTTTTCAATCAACATCACCCAAAACTGATGAGGGTGAATGACATGAGTGACACACACTTCAAGGTATCCACATTCAGGTAGCTTGATTTTTGAATAGTAGATTCCTCTGCCCACACCATCAGGTAAGTTAAGTGGATTGCCAGGAACACAAGGAGGCTCAGGATCTTTGTGAATTTCTAAAGGAGCAGGACAAACTGGTACCTCACCATTGGTTTTTGAATGGTCCCTTTCTTCTTCTGGGTGGAACAAAAAACAATATTTAATTTTCCAATTAGTTCATAGAGAGCTGTTTCATACATAAAAATACTTAGTTTTATATATAATTCCAAGATACATGTAACTTTTCTTGATTTTTCTTGCAAAAGGATGAGGCATAAACTGTACCGCAAAATTAAACAGCAATATTTTAATGTCATAGGCAGTGTGACCATGCAGTCATCAGGGTTGTCACAAATTTAAAGTTAATGTACCCTTTGCTGTTAGAGTGGTAAACTTGGTGATTTTGCCATCTTTCTCTTACTAAAGAATGAGACAAATAGCCCAGCAGAGTGGCCAGCCAAGATCATAGTGGATCACCAGCAGCCATCTACTTATGACAACCCTGAGTCATCATGTAAGACTTATATGTAACCTTGGCCATCCAGGATATAGTAACAAAAAGCAGATTGAGTTCTACGCCTGCACCATGCTGATATAAAATAGTCAACTGGCCATATATTCCCCTGCAATGATTATTTTGGTGAGGTAACATGTATATTTTGCTACAATATGCTACAATGTTCAGTTTATACCAAACTGTTAGCACTGTGTAAAAGCTATGTTTTATTTGTTAAAATTAATATAAGTTGCTTTATTTAATATTCATTTCTGTTTACCGTTTCTTGCCAGGAAAAGAAGCCAGTCCAGTTTTGTGGGTCGCTCTATCCTAACAACATCTGGCATTGCAGACATAAATTCCACAACACTCATAAAACCTAACTGCTTGATGTTGAGTTCTTTGTTATGAAGATTCTGAAATCCAGTATTTTAATAACATTAATTACAATCAAATCTGGAACACATTGAAAAATTATGAAATTTTATACCTACCCAAAGAATTTCAAGATTGCAACAAATTCTCACCTTGTATTCTATCGGAAATCGAGCTGCCCACACACCATTGGGTCTTCTAGCCAACACCTTACAGGGGAAAAAAGCAAGCAACGAAACAATGGAAAAGCTTAAACATAGACATGGCTTAAAAAATCCCAGTAACTTCTCCTGGCTATTTTATTCCAGAGATGATTTCTGTCCATTGATTAGTATAGTGCTAAATATTACTCTTGATCATCATGCAGGAAGCATGGCACACCCATTGCCATTATACTGGTCTCAGTCTAATAGTGAGGATGAAGTTGTTGTGGAAACTGCCAGACACATTCTTCTCAAAGCGAAAGTCATGGATCTTGCTTCCCTACCTGTCAATAGCACCCCACCAACTAAGCACACACTAGATGTACAGTAGAACCCTGTTAATATACTGTAGCCTGGCCCGAACAAAAGCTCAGTCAGACATTTCTTATTTAAAGAAAGACTTCACTACAGCCACCCTGTTGATATGGCCAGAATGTTTGACCCACTGGTGGCTGGATTTACAGGGTTCCACTGTACTCTTGTTGTTTTACACTCTCTATATCACTTTTCAGGCTTGTCCTGTTTCATAAAGATGAATGCATACTGCTCATCATTCCTCAGTACAGCATGTTACATCATGCCTTATGGTAGACCATGTGGATAGGCAACGCTGCTTTACATTAAGAACATCTCTGAGCATAATACTTTCAACAGGCCTTATAGCCTCTAGATCTAGACATCATTGTTTTTTTTTTCTGTTTATGAAATACTACTAGCAGTAACATCCACCACTTAGGTACCAGAATGTATTTACATACATGTACAAGTGTAAAATGCAAAGAAGATTACTAAATAAACATAAATATAAAAAATATTGTAAACTTATCATTTTTAATCAATACCTGTCTACATTCCTGTTTTATTTTTTCATCAATTCCACTCTTGTTATCAAGCTTGGCTTTAATTGAAGACGCAGATTCCCCTTTTTGTTTAACAGCCTCTGATTTGCCATTTATACTGTTATTAGGTGTTTGAGTGTAGTTTCTTTTTTCAGCAGTGGATTGAAAAACAGTTGATGCACTTTCAGTCCTGACTGAGAAACTGTCACCTGGATCAGGTGCTTTACCTACAGAAAGATGAAGACTATTAACAGGTACAAGACTATCATGGCTATCAAAAGGGATCAGTTGTTTAAGAGCTGTGATTCAAGTCCAATGCCCAGTTCAAAAGGGTTTTTGTTTGCTACTGTTTAACAGAGGTTGCATGGCTACCATGGACATCACTTTTCAAACTTCTCTAACTTTTTCCTGATAAAAATAATAAACTTTCCCCGACCAAAACATATGAAATGTCAGATGTAGTTGTGTCCTCCAGCCTCCCCTTACAGTTGTCCTTCTCACCCATTCATTTTAGATTGATAACTGTTTGACAAATTTGCCTTCTTCATTAAGGAAAAACATCATCAAGATCAACAAGACCCAAACCATAAGGATGCTTCATAATGCATAATAAAAAGCTGCTTTATAAAGCTCTCTATTGTTTATTTACCTGAATTATGTAGTGCATTTCCTTTACCATAAACTCTGTAGCCTCCCCCTCGCATGTGCTCAATCCTTACTATGTCAGGAATTGATTCAAGAAGATTACCAAGTGATTTAAATTTCAATCTTTCATAGTTAAGTTCCTGGCCAAACCTTCGGTTGAATGCTACAGCAAACATAGAGCCCAGTATCCCTGAAGGATATTGGCCAAGAAGTTCTCTTATCTGTGTTCTTATAATGTGAGGGACAATCGGCGTTGGCTCAGGATGATATGAAGTAAGGCGTGTTTTTCTCTTGGAAGAACTTTTCTTTTGTCTAGCAACTAGACTAGCTATATGTCTTGTGGTAGCATCAGCAATACCTGAAATTGAAAGCAACACATTCCGTCACTGTGGAGTGCATGCAACTATGTTTGACCACATAACCAAACAGAGCAAAAAGAGAGAAGCAACAAATGCAGCCTAAGAAGATGAAGAAAAATTATCTGTCACAAGTTTAAGGTATGGTTACTTTGTAAAATTTTGGACCGCATTTAAAGATTGAAATGAACATGTTGGTTTTCTTTTGTGATATGAAGCAGTTACTAATAATGTCTCCCTCAGGGAAATATTTGAGAATTGGAAAGCATTAGTTGAAATACATTTCTGTGATAATAATACCAGCCCGAAATGGTAGGCTTCAGAGGTAGTTCAAACTTAAAAAAAATCACAATTGATAAAAAAATGGTTTTCACTAAGCCATTTTTGAATTATAAGTACTTCAAGCTAGAATTAAGGGAGTTTTAAAAAGGTTGTATTATTGCCATGGTAACCTAATATGCCATGAGGACGGCCACAACTTGTTCACCAATGATTGAATGAATGAATGATTGGGCACTTGTGTGATAACAATATATATTGTAACAGCAATAGATAAGGTGTGAGGGTACTGACCAGTCAAACTGCTGGAAAGTATAACTGCTGGAAATTGCTGGAAACTGTCATCAGCCATCTTAACCACCCGGTATAAACCGTTTCATCTTCTTGTCTTAACGTTATGCCCTATCTTTTAAACTCAATTCTTCTTCAAGTTCGGAAGAGCAGGATTGCAGGAGAAGTCATTTTATTTGTCTCGCTTTAATTATTTTTAGACCTCGGGAATGCGAGACTACATGAGCGTGCGTTAAGTCATTATTTATATCCTCGCTTCGGGACCATGGGAGCGGTAGATTAATTACGCTCAAAAGTGGCCGGGTATTCTAAAGTAACTCCAGCATGGTAAACACCCATTTTAAAAACGTAAGTAACAGCGACAGCACAAAACTTGTAAAAAACACTCTCACCTCGAAGAACCAAGACGCCATTTTCCCAAGTTGGTCGCGTAACATTTGGCAAGTCCTTGAGTAAGTCTATTGGCGTTTTGTAGCCCATTTCCCGAAAAGGAAGCGGTTTCCCAATCATGTTGTTATAATCTCTTTGCATTTCAGCCACTGAGAGGCCATTTGGTGCCGAAATGAGAAGAGCGCGAATATTTTTGGTGACCTCCAAGCGAAGAGCTTCCTTGCCATCAACTCCACGTGATGACTTTACGTCGCCTTTCGCAGCCATTGCTTTTCCTCCTAACATGTTATTTTATCACTTAAACTTCTAAATGAAAACAAGGAGCTCCTTAGGAGTTGAAAACGGGGAGAAATGCAAAAGAAGATTTCGAATTTCCCACATTTTGCGCTCGCAAAGTAGCAAATCTTCATCGACCATCTACGCGGGAACAAAACAAACCGCGCCAGTGCTGTAGACGAGAGAAACTGGAAAGGAGTCATAGATTATCCAGAAGGCAATGGGAGCAGGAACATATCCAAGATGGCGAACGTTTTTGAAGGGAACAGTACAGAAGTTTGTAGCTATTTTAATATGGACTGAAAACATGAAGTCAAAGAAATCTAACCAGTAACGCAGTTAATTGACCGGGAAAATGGAATCAGTAGGCGATCAAGTGACTAAGACGAATGTAGGTTACGAAATTCCGACTTGGAACAGCTGGTCTCCATTGGCTAAATTTTACCATCCTCTGCAAGCTGGAAGCATTGATGGTACTGACACGGTGCCTCATGATAGGGCTGTTAGTCGCGCTATGGTCGCAAAGTGTAAGTTTAATGATGTAAGACAGTAAATTTTATTGCTATTGCTTAAATTGAGTTGAATCAGGAGGTCACTGAGGTGCAGATGAGACGAGTAATAGAGAGATAAAGCATGACGTTACGTTAAACGGCAAACGGCAAAAATGAAACTTTTGCCGTCTGTCTTCAGCTGTCTGTACGGCAGAGTGAAAGTATTTGTATTTGCAGTGAATAGTAGAAGACATTTGTCTATTTTTGTGTGATTTATTTGAGGATTACAAGAAAAGAATAAAAAATCAAAGGTAATCTTTGCCATTTGCCGTCTGCCGTAAACATCATGTTTAACTCTCTATTCTTTAGAGTGAGCTGTGCGTCTGATATCTGAACACCTCGCCACCAGGGAATTTCTCCACCAACGAACTCGCCACCAAGCGAAGTCACCTCGCCACCAAACACCAACAAAAAGATAAACTAGTCGTGTAAAGTAGTCAAAGTGAATTAGCTGGTGCATTGGTTTGCTGCGCTTGTTTTGTTACTTTCTTGTTATGATTGTGCAGTAGTCTTTTGCATCATTGAAATGGACAACGCATTGCCTTCTTAGCTTTTCTTTCGAGTCACATATATAGATTATTCCTCGTTCTTTTATCCACTGCCTTATTAGATTATTGGTGGCGAGGAAGCTTCGCTTGGTGGCGAGTTTGTTGGTGGCAAGACTCCCTGGTGGTGAGATGACCGGTAATTGTGTGTCTGTCTCTCTTTTTCAGATAAGCCAAACAAGAGAGTCTGTGGCAATCCAGACAGCACATTGTTTGTTGGGAAACTTAGCAAAGAAACCAGAGAAGGTTTGACGTTGTTGTAATTATTTCTTCAATTACAGTAACTGGTATATATATATATCTATATATCTATATATATACATATATATATATATATATATATATATATATATATATATATATATA